TTAAAATTAAATCAGTTTAGATAACTCTCAGTTAAAAATGTTTTTCTTGCTGAGGCTACACAGATAAAAAGGGAAAGATGTGAAGTTACCAGCAAGAGCAAGCATAATGGAGAATAGTTTTGATTAATGAAGACTTACAAAAATAAAACAAAGCAGCTGAATGTGGCAGTGCAGCTTGAAGCCAAATAATTGTGTCCATTTTTATTCAAGATTTTTGGAGTGATGCTTCTTATAAAACAAGTGAACTGCTGAGGAACAAAATGTAGAAATGTTTTTTGATGTGACTAGACTGCCAGAATTCATCACGGGAAGCATTTAACTATTGATTGAGGTCTAACAAACCACAGCCCAATTTAGTAAAGAATATTAGTAGCATGGAAATTTTTTTAATGGCCAGCAGATAGTAACGATATGCTCATGTTGATAGCCTGTAAACCAAGAACTAAAACTCCTAGACTGGGACAGGGGTTAATTCTCCCTTTCCTTTCAGCAAAGGAGGGGCTGCTGTTCAAGGCAGACTTCCATCTTGTTAGACAAAAGCAGCTTGTGGGTGACATCAGCATGTAGGACTGCTGTTCCTCTGGAAGACATAAAGCAACATCCTGGTTAACCTGGTGCCTGTGCTGACCAACAGCTGAACACCACCTTTGTCTGGTGCTTAGAGCAGGTGGTGGTTTTGCAAGGCTGATGTGAGGTGTGCAAGGAGGAACTCCCACCCAGTAAGATGGGTGTTGAGGAAAGGGGCGTTATAGTAGTTGGGGAAGGTAGTCAGAGAGGACTGGATGGACTTGCAACTTGGTTCTGCTGACAAAGGGTGAGCCATCTTGTTCAGAAAAGTCTTTGGTTATTAAAGGACTGTGGTAAGATAAAACTTGAGGGAGTAGTTACAACAGTTAACCCGAAAACTTTTGATTGGATTTCCTGTGGCTTCTGTTAAAGGGAGGGGGCAGATGTTAGCTGTTTTACTCACCCTATGAGCTGAAGAAACTTAAGTGATCAGAGCAGTGGAGTCTTGACAAATACAAAGAAATGAGTTACAGGAAAATAGCTGGAGAAGCAACTGTGTTGAAGCTAAACTGACCAGCAGCAGCTGGGTATAAGGTGGCAGAGCGATTCCCATTATTGAACACTAATATGAGTTCTATTCAGTGTATTGGGGCGGAAACGGTTCTGAAGCTGATGGAAAGTGCTACAGGTACTAAACATGCTGTGTCCCTTGCTAAGGGACAGCAGTTCAGGACTAGTGGCTTCTACATGCCCCCAGCACAAAATTAAAGCCTTCACACTCTGAAGCTGTATTCTTGAGAGGTAGTTGAATAAATGGTCTGAGTGTCAGTTGATGGTAGAGAATAATTAACCTCTTAACCCTTTCACAAGTATACAGTAGAAAATCAGGAAAAGGAGGAAGAGGTTGTTTGTTCTTCTAGAACAAGATATATGTTCACTTAAATTGGGAGCAGTTTACTACACTTGTAGAAGCTTTTAACTTTTGAAAATGGTAATTCATTAGTGAAAGGTCTACAGAACTGTGTAGGAAAAATGAACTAACAGGGTTTCTGGGTTCTTGGTGTTCTCATCACTGAGCAAATAGCTCAGTTAAGACCTAGTGACGCTCTCACTTTTGTCCTGCTTTGAAAATCTTCTCTGGTTTTTACATGAATGCTGGCCAAGAAGACCAACAGCATCCTGGCTTGTACCAGAAATAGTGTGGCCAGCAGAACTAGGGAAGTGATTGTCCTTGTGTACTTGGCACTGGTGAGGCTGCACCCTGAATACTGTGTTCAGTTTTGGGCCCCTCACTACAAGGACATTGATATGCTGGAGCATGTCCAAAGAGCAAAAAAGCTGGTGAAGGGTCTGGAGAACAAGACTTATGAGGAGCAGCTAAGGGAACTGGGGTTGTTCAGTCTGGAGAAAATGAGGCTGAAGGGAGACCTCATTGCTCTGTACAACTACCTAAAAGGAGGCTGTAGTGAGGTGGGTGTCAGTCTCTTCTAAGTAACAAGCGATAGGACAAGAGGAAATAGCCTCAAGTAGTGCCAGGGGAGGTTTAGATTGGATATTAGGAAAAATTTCTTCACTGAAAGGGTTGTTGAGCACTGGAACAGGCTGCCCAGGGAAGTGGTTGAGTCACCATCCCTGGAGGTGTTTAAAAGATGTGTAAGTGCGGTGCTTAGGGACATGGCTTCATGTTGGACTTGGCAGTGTTAGGTTTACAGTTGAACTTCATGGTCTCAAGGGTCTTTTCCAACCTAAATGATTCTATGATTCTATGAATATCAGATCTGTTCTCCCCTTTTTCTATGGCTGTGTCTAGCTGTTCTTTGTTTTGTGATCTGTTTTAAACTATCTTAAACCACCCCACCCCTCAGAGTAGCGGAATGCATGCTGTTCTCTTTCACTTTTTCGGCTGATGTCTTTTCAGCATGGTAGCTCTGCCTCCTGCTCTACAGCACAGTAGCAACTGATGGAAGTTCAACAGATTGGTGTTTAGTGCCTTCAAACTTCTAACTGCTGTCATGTCCAACTTGCTTGGAGGATGCACTGTGACAACTCTGCTGCTCTTGGTGAAGGGACATACGGAGTGGCAGTGTTTCATTAAAACAGGCTGAGAGAAAGCAATACAAAGGAATGGTTGGCATTTCTTAAGGGGGACAAGACATCCCTGACATGCCTCATGTAGTGTTATCCCAATATGCTTTGCTTATAACTTACTGCCTTCTCATCTTTTCTACTTTGGTGTGAATGTAGGAGTGTGCATGTGCTATTTGTAGCTTTGCAGGGAGCTTCCTGACTCCTTATATGGATGAAGGTCAATGCTATGCTGAGTGGCATTATATGAGCGGGGTGCGGCTTCTGGGATATGTACAGTATTTATTTATACTGAAACTTTAAAGTTCAGGGCTTTGTGGTTGGTGTAAGTGCAGTAAGCTATGCTTTCTTGGTTCACTTTGAATACTATTCTACAACTAATCCATCTCAACCTACCTTATGCTCAGAAAATAATTGGATAAAGCCCCTTAATTCTCTGCAAGACTAGCATTTTTTCAAGTTCTTAAGTATCTGTGAATAGCTCATGTGTCCTTCATCTCAGTTAGATCTATCTGCCATTTGACTTTTGATTAGTGCTTCTGCAAGTCATTAACAGCGAGGTTGTCTGGCTTAGGGAAAAGCTGTATTTCAAGTGCAAAAGCAGGGATGCTTTCTGAGAAGGCTTTCAAATACGGTTTCAGATAGAATGCTTCTGCCTTTCTGATTTAAGGCTGTTACCAGATCCACCTGTTGCAGGATGTTCCCAGTTGTGGTGGTGATATTTAAAAACTTGTAGTCATGCAAAATTGTGTAGTTAAATGGTAAGGATTTCTGTTCAAAATAACTTGGCTGAAGTATGTGGGATTACTGCTTCTTGGCATTTTTTAAAAATTATGCTAGTACTGATGGCTAGAGGGGAAGAAAGTGGGCAGGCTGACTTCTACAGGTGTCTTCAGCTGCACTTAAACTCTAATTCAGCATCTTTTTTTCTCTCCCTAGTACTTTTGTCCATCTGTTCTCTGTTGTGTGATCCCAATCCAGATGATCCTTTAGTGCCTGAGATTGCACGGATCTACAAAACAGATAGAGAAAAGTGAGTATGGAAGCAAAAAACCATGTAGCATTCTTGACAAAGCAGAATCCACACTTAAACAGTAAAGGGGAACTGAAAGGACCTGCTTCTTGGAAAAGAGTGTGAACTTTTGATTTGCCTTTTTCACTTTAACTGTGGTCTTTTTAGAGATTTTTTTTCCTGGGATCTGTAGTACAGGTAGCTTAACAGCATTGCATTCCTGTAGGAAAAAGATACATACGCCGGTAGAAGTGAAGGATGTAGAGGCCTTGTACTTCTGTTTTGTTACTGCATTTTCACTCCACACGATGGTCTCTCATTACTATTTGTAGCTGTTAATTACAGGCTTACTTGATTTGATGAAAATGTGAAGTGAACAATTCAAATCTGTTTCCTATGGAGCTCCTAAGTTGGATGTGACCAGCTTTTAAGAGCCTTCACTGCCTGCTTTAATTCTACATAACCAGCAGAGGGAGAACAAGTTACTCTAGTGGGAGAGTATTTCCATGCTAGCTATTGGTGATGGAATCATACAAGCAAAGGAATAACAAAAATACCCGGTTTCATCTTCATTTGACAACACAAGGGAAGAAAGTGGTATAGAGGTGGGGTGGGAGGACTCCAAGCTTCTGTGAAGTAAACAGCAAGAATGGAGAGAACTCTAGCACTAATGAGCACTTTAAAAGCAACAGCTTAATGACCATTGTAAACACTCTTCTACCTCACTGTTCCCTTCCAGATCTGATCAGTAGTGTTAATTTCTGAAGCTACATGGTCATCTGATGAAAACAAGATAGGAAGGGAAAATGATCCACAAACTTGCTTACTCTACTGCATATTTGAGAAGCAGTGTTAGAGAAGTTCATGCATCCTGTTTTTAATGAGAGCTGCAAGAGTAGCAGTACGTATTTCGAGATGCAGCTAACAGTGACTGGCTGCACTTATATATGAAGGACTCTTTCCTATTTTTTCCAAAAATAGGGAAATAAATTTTGTGCTTAAACATAACTGGACTTGCTTCTTCAGTAGTCTCAGAACAGTGAAGTTACAAATGCTCTCACCTTTGAGTGGATTGTCAGTTTCTTTAAGCTGAATAACATTGTCTACAGACTAAATTCCAGCACAAGAACCTAGCTGATGTACTTAACTAGGAAACTTCTTGCTATATGCATCTTACGCTTTTTCTACAGAATTTGTAGAAAAAGAACAACTTGCCTTCTGTTGTTGGAAATAAGGTTTTATCAGTACTGTTAATCACAATGACTGCTTTGTTTTACTTAAGTATACTGAGCTGCCTCTATAGCAGTGGCTCTGGTTATAAAGGGTATTTGGGCGCAAAAGCTACGGGTGGCTTGGGAAAAGGAGCATATTGTGCCTTCAGAATAAAAAAATTCTGGTGGACAAATCGCTGTGTCCCGATAGCAGAATAACCAAATGCAGTGTGTAGTATGAAACAAGCCTGTTGGGGTTTGGCAGCATAGTAGATACCAGGTACTAGTCTTAACTTTTGAAGGGAAGAAGAAGAATGGGGTGGGAGGGAAACATTAATCTATTTTTTCCAGAATGCCAAAATGAAAATGTGCAGTAATAGTTTCCTCGGGGATGCAGCAGTTGGGGGCTGGGGGAAGCACAGGTAAAGATTTCCTGAAAATACTTTCCCCTCAGACCTGTGCTAGCTCTGTTTTATGGCTTGAATCACAAAGATCTTGTGTTCCTGTTGTAAATATGACTAGTTAGTACTTTTCCATGAAGTACTGTGGGCTTTCTTGTTTCCCCTGTTTGACTAATATAATATTTCAGTTCTTAAATTTTACAAATTCATGATACTACTAGAGAGAATGTAAGTTCATGCCATGTGTAGACTAGACTGCTGGAGTTGAAATACTGTTTGGATGTTATGTTAAGTAAATCCTCTTTTTATACATACAGGTACAACAGAATAGCTCGGGAATGGACTCAGAAGTATGCGATGTAATTAAAGAAATTATTGGATAACCTCTACAAATAAAGATAGGGGAACTCTGAAAGAGAAAGTCCTTTTGATTTCCATTTGACTGCTTTCTATGAGCCCACGCCTCATCTTCCCCTGTGCACATGTTTACCTGATACAGCAGTGCTGCGTGTTGTACATACTTGGAACAACAAAATAGAAATACTGTATTTCCCCGTACCAACATTGACTCCTAGCAGAGAAGTGTGTGTGTGAAAAGCTGGTTCTTCAGTCATAACTTTGTGAGCCTAAAAGCATTCCTTGTTGATTTAAATTGGGTAATAAAATGTGAATGGGAGAGTCATTGTGGATTTCATATTTCTAGGGACAGTGTTGATGATCCGTGAAGGATTTTAAGCGGAATCCTTTTAAACTCATAACAGTTATGAAAAGCAAGGTGAAGAACTTGAAGCTGTTTCTGTATTCATTTTATTCTGAAGGACCTACACCTTAGGTAAATGTTATGACCAATGAGATAAACTGTACCCACATCCTGTGTTTAAGGTCTAAGTTTAACCAGTCAACATTTAAATGGATTGGAGCTATTAGTGCATCAAGTGATGTTGATTTGTTTCAACTCTCTCCCCTCCTTCATACCTTTTTTGGTTTGTATGTGGTTTCTCAGTTAATACATAGCTAATAGCTCTTGTTTTTCTTAGGTTTTTTTAACTGCTTAGGTCTTTCTGGATGTAAGGGTAAAAATCCATTTGACAGAAAACTTGTGTATATTTAAAGACCCAACTGCTCCTCTGGAGCTTGTACGTTCAAGAATGATTAATCTGTGTAATAAACTGATTACTACAGTCATTACATATAACTTTGTGTGAATAGGCTTTTAATTTTAAGATCAGTTTGTTACAGGCTAAAACTAATGGTGGATTTCTCAAACTTTTGCATTCATGAATGGTTGCATTTGGAACTCATGAAGCAGTTTGGTTTGCATCACACAAGGCTATGCACCTGAACAAGACAAACATAAGCTTAAGCACTTACATGAAATCAGGATGTGTAGTGTGCCAGGAACTTGACTGTTAAACCAAATAAGCAGTTTACTGAATGAGAATCTGAGTGACATTTTGCAAAGCCTAATGGTATTATTCCCACTTGCATGGGACCTAACAATGCATATGTACTGTAGGTAAGTGAAACAGTATGTAACTAACATAATGGATGTAAAAGGGTTTAAAAAAAAAAGAAAAAAGATCAAACACATCAGCACAAATTTTCATAAAATGTAGCTTTTACATAATTACTTTGCACTAAACATTTGCAAATGTTCATACAGTTTTAAATTGTATTTGTATGTGTCTTTTTTTGATCAAAGTCTTCACTTGAATCTAGTGAAAAATGTAGTTTGAAACTTTTCTTTGTATACAAGTGTATTTGCCAGCATCGTTTGGTGTGAAATAGGTGAGTCTCCAAGTTTATCTCCTCTTAGTAGAATTGTAAACAAAGCCATCAACTATGAAGGAGAGGCTGTAGCCTCCAGCTCTCCAGCCACAGGGGTCTGTCCCATCCATTTTTCAAATGCATCTTTACACTCTTGCACAAATGAGGAATAAATGTCCACTGCTTTTGGTCTAAATCTGTTCCACTTGTCTCATCTCTCAATGTCCTTGTGTATGCACCACTGGATGTAAGTGTTAGCAGTGTTTCTTGGAGTCCTCTTACAGCAAGCTGTAGGTGAAACCATCATACATGTGCATCTCCAGCAGGCATGAAGACTGCTGCTCTAGCAATGTGATGCTGCTGTGTGGGAATGAAGCAGCTCTAAAGCAGTGGAGCAGAGCTTCACTGGAAAAGAAATGGAGCATGTGGCCATGTTTCCTGGCTGTGTGACAATATATACGGATGACAGCTACTGGGGAGGGGGAGAAACAATGCAGGAATATGAACTGTCTATTGGGTCATCTTAAACTCTTGGAACTCTTACGTTATGCCACAAAGTGCTGGTGTCTTTACTGGTTTAGAAAGCACTATGTGGCCTATCACTGAAGTGTGGCCCTGGATAAAAACTGGTTGCATTGTCAAAACTAGAGTGTAAGCTAGTGGCTGCTGGTGCATCTTGGTTTTGTGTTAACCTTTAAACATGTCTGGCCTTACCTTTTACTAAACTGTTCTAACATGCAGACTAACACTCCTGCTAGACCCTCTGTGACCAAGGGAGAGAACATGAATCGGTGATGGTTGAGTTGTCCTCCCATGTTTCTGCAGTGGGGTCACCAGATGCTTTCTGAGAAGTACAGGGAGGGTGGGTTGGAGTGGTTGCAACCCTCAAAGCAAGCTCTTTTTTTGGGATTCCCCCTGACTGCTTTGCAAGTGAGCCACCCAAGAATGATTTTTGGCAGATTTGGCTGGTTTTTGACATTGGCAGTTACTGGAAGAGATCAGAGGCCTGTACAGGAGAGAAAGAGAAGGTGGCAGTAACTAGTGTAGAAGTTGAGGAGGAGGATTTTCCTTTCTGGTGGGGCAGAAGTCACATGCTATGTGATGGGAGAGTAATGCAGCCATACATGAATTGGAACAGTAGAGTCCTGAATGTTATAACAACTTCAGCTTAGATACTATAGTAACACATCTGCTTGTGTTGGGATGATTGTCTCTTACTTGCAATTAAGTGTTTAAACAGATCAGGCTTCCTTGCTTATGGCATGACAAAAGTTGTGGTATAGTAAAAGCAAGGCTGGTGATCCTTAAGTAGGGAGTACATACACTGTCCCTTGTGTGAGTTGAGCATTTGTTGTTGAGGGTTGTACTGCGAACTAGATAAAGGAGCCTTTTTTCTAGGATTTAATGTAAAACCTCATCCAGCTTAGCCTTTTTTGGGACTAGAAACTTGCTCTTTTGAAACTGTGTATTGTGTGTGTTCTAATGTAAAACAGCACAAGAAGCTAGGGGCTCTGGTTGTTGCCTTTCTAGGAACTCTGAACTTGTCATGTCATGAACTTTTTCAGTCCCTGTCTAATTTTTTTTTACTTGGTTTAGTATTTTAAGTTGACTACCTCACTTTGCATGTCTGTCTTTGTGCTGGGACTGCTATGGATGTAGACTGTACATGTGATTTCCCTTTTTTCCTGCCATGTACTAAGCAAATGTGCTTTATTTAAAAAAAAAAAAAAAAAAAAAGGCCGGGCTGCTTAGATTCCTCTAGCTCTGGCAGTGCTGTGAAACTGAAACACTGCGACTGGATGCATTGCTTCTGTTCATCTGCACCCATCCACTGCAACATTGTGAACCAGGAGACACATAACTCCAAGTTTAGTGAGCTGTACCACATGTAAATCTTCTAGAACCACTGCCTCCATCAAGCAGCTGGCATTATTTGACAGTGCATATACCTACTGTAGTGTGTATTCCTTGTAACCTGAGTTTTCAGGGGCTGTTTGTGCTGTGCCTGCATACAAGAGAACATGGTCCAATATATTTCAGAAACTCTCTTCTAGCTCAATACCAAGTAGCCACTTGGCAGTGTGCAGGAGGTGCCAGTTACCTTAAATGTTACTATGGCTTAAGAGTCCAGCATCCATGGACCTGCGGACTGGGATGGCACTGATTCTGGGCAGTACTGGAGACCTGATTACTGTGCTTGAAATACCTAGCTTGTCCTTTGGTACTATGTGTTGCTGCATTTCTTTCATAGCTTTTTGGCAATGCAAGAGTGGGTTTTTTTTTGGTGTTTTTTTTTTTGTGGGGTGTTTTGTGTTGTTATGTTGCTACACTAATGCTTTCAAGTAAACTGCATACTGAAGTGTCTACAGACTTTTCAGTCTGTGCACATTGAATGATGTAGAAAAAACAGTGGGACTGCGTTGGATATGATCTTGTGTCCCTAGCATGCTTAATAAAGCAGACTATAACCTGTCCCTTGCCACTGAAGGCCGTGGCTTTCCTCACTTTTGGTAGCTGCAGCTGCTGACAGAAGGATCTGGCCATGTTTCTGACTCATCTTTTTGCTATTCACACCAGCAGAACAGCTCTAGAGCTATTCTTGTTCCCAGTTCTCATGTATGGTAGAAGATCAGAAACCTAAAGTAAGGACAATGGGACGTGCTTTGCCCAGTTAAAGATGTATTTCTTTGTTCCCTGAGTAGCTCTTGCTGGCGAGAATGTGGCAGAAGACCTGGGCATGTGGGAAGTGCAGAAGAAAACTACTGCTCAAAGCAGTTAAAAGTTACTCGTATGTCACCTTGCTCTAAAGAACCACAATAACATAACAAAAAAAATCTCTGAACATGCTCAACACTTCCACTCCAGATGGAGGAGCCCTTGGGCTTAGGTTCCAGAAATGCCTGCTTGCCCAGGCAGAGCTTGGAAGCCACCACCTGCAAGAATAAAAGCACCATGGTATATTTGGGTAGAAAGGAGGCTGTCCTCTTTAAATAACCTTGGAGCAGTTTTGCTCTCATCCCTTCAGTGTTGGGGAAGCTTACCTCTGTCTCCTACAGATAGCTAGAAAAGTTTCGCATGCTTTCCCCCCGCCCCTGAGTTATTGTTTCCTTCCATTCCTTGGCTCCTTTGTGTCGACTTAGAGCAAGTCTGTGATCAAAGTTGGAAATCTTAGTTGTTTCGGGGTGTGGTAGAAGCTGTTTCCTACAGGGAATGCACGGGGACAAGAAGTGCATTGAGAGCACATGATGGAAGGTTAAAAGGAGGAAAAAACCTGCTGTCCAGCTTTCTGGATGTGTGGAGACCAACCCCTGCATGAGTAACAACAATCAGAGGCTTTGGGAGGGATTCCTGCAGCCATTGCTTCACTGGCCCTGCCCTGCCCTGCCCTGGAAGTATGTGTCACTAGATCTATGCTGACACTACCTGTACTGTTGTAATGTGTTGCAATTTGATCACCATTAAATAATTCCCTTAAACTTACTGTGCCTTGATTGCCTTTTTTTTTTTTTGCTTTAGCTGTGCCTTTTACTCTTTTTTTTTTTTCCCCCTTCTCATTTTGCTTTCTTTCCTCTTGTGGCTACTCTCTCCCTTCTCCCCAGTGATCCAGTTCTGCACTGTCCTCTGCTAAGCTGTCTCCAGTCTCCTTCATCTTGGGGGTTTTTTTTAACTTCCTACAAAGCCTGGCTTGCTCTCTGAACACAGGCAGTACTTTGTGGGCAATGTTGAGTAGCCTTCGTGGTCTTCTGGGTCTTCTGCCTCCTTGATGTAGAAACGCATATGCTTTCACCAAGCCCAGTGCTGTCCTCTTCCTTGTTAGAACCTGTGATTTAATAGCGAGCTTGTTGGTGCTTTGATTTCATAGCATGCTGCTGCTAACATCTGTGTCCTTTGATTCAGTGGGCTCACTGTTCCATAAAGCTGGGATCAGCTCTGGTGCAAGAGCACAAGGCATGTGTGGCATCGGAGGCAACCAGAGCCATCTTGACTGTTCAGGGGTTCCCACAACTTGTGACTTACTCTTCCTCCAGTTTGGTATCCACAGGTTTTGTTTTATTGTGTTTCTGCTTCTCAGCATCCCCCCTTTTCCTTCCCTGTGTGAGAATATTTAGTTTTTATTGTCATGTAGTTAGGTCAAAGCATCTCAGGGTGAGTGGAGATTGGATGTATTTTCAATTCTTGCCCTTTCATGAACAAATGTATTTATAATGAATACTCTTTCTATGGATAAATCTGTCACTGAGTTGCTTGGTGAGAGATTTATTGCTGAGTTTATCTTGGTGAGTTGCTCAGCTGTATACACTTGTTCCTTGCCTCCATCTATAGGGAAGAGTAGTCTAGCTTCCACTGATGGAAGCTGTTGCTGGTTGGGAGCATCTTGTAGATAGTAGCTGGGTCCACTGAGCCTGCAGAGCAGATTCAGGATGGAATTGCAAAGGACTGGGTTGAAAGACCAAGTCATGGGGTGTAGATGCAACTTGGCATTTTGAATAAGCTGGGAACTCATGTTTGTTTGGTCACTGCAAGCACTAGTATTAGTTCTCAGTTCTGCAGTGGCTTCCTATGTAAGAGAAATCACGTTTATTGGCACTAGAAGTTGAGCTAGACCCTATTCTTTCTCCAACAGTGACAAAAAAAGGCCTATGTGAGAAGACAGGAACAGGATGGGCAACTGTGATGCTTGATCTGCACTCGCTTCCAGCTGAAGAGCTTCCTGAGGAGAGGTGTGGGTTCTGTAACCTCTCTGGTTACCTTGAATAGACTTCTGTGAATGTGTCCTCTCTGTCTTTACGTTTGTGTAATCTCTTATTGTTTATCTGTATTTGATCTTGTCAGTGCGAAGTAGTGGTACTGGTGATGATTGCAGGGTTTGGGGGAAGCAGGGCTTCTTGTTGATGGTCAGGCAGGGACAGTCAGATAGAGGGAACTTGGATGACTTGCAATGGCATCTCTGGTTACAGCTGGTATTAAAACAGAATTGCTATTAAAATTCTACCCTAGAAAACTTTTTGGTATATGATGCTTATGATAGAAAAGTATTTTTTCTTAACTGAAGGTAAACACAGAGGGAGAAGCTTCCAAAACCTGATGGAGGGCAGTCTGTGCCCTCCTGCCCTGGTATGGATGCCTGCTTTGCTTCACCACCTTTTTGGTCTTGACAAGAGTGAATTTACAGTCTGCAAAACCTGAAAATTTTGT